GTCTTGCTCGAGATGATCGACGCGAACGGCAGCCGCGCCAACGGCGCCCGTGCCACGGTAGCGGACGCCACCAGTCTGCGCCTGAGCCGAGCGGGCCGCCACGCACTCACCTGCTTCCACAAAAACGCCGTCACCCAAATGACCTTGCCACAGGCGCCGCACGGCGTGTCTGTGGGTGTCCAGAGCCTTTTGGGCCCGACCGCCAGCAACAATCCCTGCGGTGATGCGAGCTGTGAACGGGTGCTCGGGGCCTACGGCGACTCCGCCGCCGCGGGCCCGAAAACCACGAAGCACTTCTGCGACGTCCTGCACTCTAGCTCGCAGCAAGTGCGGCTCGAGGTCAACGCGGCCGTCCTGGCCAACGATCTCCACGAGACGTTCCAGGTCGAACCCCGCGTCCTCGCCAACCGCGTGGAGCATACTCGTTCCATCACCAAGCTGAACCGGGATCCGTGCACCATCAAGGAGCTCATCAACGTGAACATTGTGATCTCCAGTGACCTCCCCGAGGCCGCGCTGAAGGGCCTCCGCGAGCTCGCGATGAAGTACCCGACCATCGTCACGACCAGCGAGTGCAAGCCTGGCACCGTCATTCGCGACCCGCCCCATGCGAAGCCGCTCGCAGCTGCCGGGCCCACGGTCCAGAAGACCATCAACAAGAAGCCCGCCGCGGCCCGCAAGAGGCTCCTGCGAAGCCGTGAAAGCTCCCCGTCCGCCGCGGGCGTCCCCGCCGTTCCCGCGCGCGCCTTTTGCCCCGCACGTCCGTGCTGTTGCGCGCGCGCGTCCCGGCAGGGACTGGCATCGTTTCCCGTTACCTCGCAGGGCTCCTGAGCCCTTCCACCAACGCAAAACCCGCTTCCAGCGCACCGCAATGGAAAACACAACCCCGCCACGTCGGGAATTGAAAAAAAGCAACCCGTTGCATTGCTTCTTTCCATTACGCGCCGCAAAAACGCCCCCATCTGCCTGTTTCATCCTGGGCCCTCGCTTCCTGCCCGTCTAGCGCAGTGCCCATCCAATGATTCCCAAAACCCCACCTCGGCCCCACCGCCGTCGGATCGCTCACGCAGCCCGCAGCAATTCTCACGCCCAATGCTCCTCTCCTTCGCTGTATGTAGCAATCAGCCCTCGTCCAAACTGCCGCCGTCCTGCTGTTGCCCTCTCTCCTTTCTTTCCATCCTCCCCCGTCTCCCGCGCCATATTCCCCGGCTGCCAACTCCCAGCCACGTTCCTCCTTTACTGCCCCCAGCCCGTCCTGCTCGCTTTTGCTCATCCTCCCCCTCCTCCCCTGCCCGCCCCTCCCCCCTCCTGACTCCCCCCCCGCCCCGACGAGAGACTTTTCTGGGATATGGGCAGCTGGCGCTCGGGATAGCCGGCGCCGTTCCGCCAGAGAGCTCCCGGAGAGAACAATGGAGACAACCGGCGATGCCGGGCAGGAGGAGGAGGGGATAAGCAGGCAGACAAGTGGACGGGAAACGAGAAACAGGAGGGGAAAGACACACACGAGCCAAGGCAAAGCACATTTGAGCAGCGCTTTCCCAAGACGCAACTACGTTGTATTCAAAAACATGAGAAGCTGAGAAGCCACAGCGTTATGTTTAAAAGAAGCAACAATGGCACATTGCTTCTCAAGAGTACGTGGTGCAGAAGTCCCGCACCCTGCCCAACACTTCCGCCCTTGCTTCGCGGGCCGCAGACGCAAGCCGCATGTTCCAAGAAAAGTGAATCCCAGGCAAAGGAACAAGACCGAAAGGCGAAGCGGAGCGAGCCCTTAACGTTGTTATGATATATAGGTACCCAGGCGGTATGGCCCGAAAGCGGGGCCGCCACCGAGCAAAAACTGAGATTTCTCAGGGCGCGCGTCGCCCCCGGGCGGCGACGCACTCGCAGTCCGAGGTTGCGGGGCGAGATTGAAGTGGAACGGAGAGCCACCAATGAAGATCGGCTTCGGTTTCGGTTTCGGGTTCGTGTCCTGCGTGCGGGCGAGGCGATGCTGCGTGGGCGGGCAAGAGGAATGACAAGATCAAAGACCGCCCCTCCAGTGGGCCAGCGTGGCCGGAGGCGTCCCGCCGTGGTATCCCGCCGTGGTGTCCCGTTGTCCGCGGGCGGTGGCCGCGGGGTGTCCCACCGTGGTGTCCCGCCGTGGTGTCCCGTCGAAATCCCGTCGGTGTCTCGTCGCTGTCCCGTCGGTGTCCCGTCGGTGTCCCGTCGGTGTCCCGTGCCGTCCCGTCGGCGCCCCATGGACCAACTCATTGCCACCGTCGTCATCGTCATCATGCTTTTTCGCCAGCGTCGCCAGTGTGTTAACCCATTGCCATCATGCAGTGTCGCGGCCTCGTCGTCTTGCATCGTCGCCAACCCGTGCGCGCATCACCAGCATTGCCAGCATCACAATCATGGCAGTTGTCCTCAGTTGGTTCTTCCCCCCGAACCTCCTCATCACCCAAAGGGTGGTCGTACAGGTATAAGGATGTTTGGGAGATGCGGATAAAAAGTGCAGGAGCTTGTTCTAGGGGAACGAACAGTGACATGACCATAAAAACTCGGAGGTCCGCGCGGATTTCTCGGATCGGCGCTGGGGCCCCCTGGCGGCGCCTCCGGCGCCGCCCCTGGCGCGCTCCGCGTGCCAGGGAGGGGGGTCCAGCGCCGATCCGAGCAACCCGCGCGGACCTCCGACTTTTTGTTTATGTCACTGCTTCTTTCCCTCTTCTTGGTCCTTGGTTCGTAAGGCATCTGAGCAGAATGGTCTGGCCAGCTCGTCGCCGCCCGTCGCCGCCGCCGTCGCCGCCGGCATCTGGGCCTGAGTGCCAGTCTGGCTGGCTCGTCGCCGCCCGACGACGCCCGTCGCCGCCGCCGTCGCTGGATCGTTTACTCGTGCAGTCGCATTGCGTTGCGTTGCTTTGAAATGGCTTGCTTCGCTTTGCGTTGCTTCGCATGGTTTTGCACTGCTTTTCGCACCGCGTAGATTGTATCGCATGGATGTCCCTTCCTGGATTGCACCGCATTGATTGCACCACCTAGATTTAGAAAGTCCAGAGTTCGCTAGGGACTGGTTTCCTGTCAAACCAGCCGAAACCTTCTCGAAACCCTCCGAAAACCATCCGGGAAGCATGAAAGGACCAAACCGAACCGAGAACCGATGACCCGTGACCGAACCGAACCGAACCGGACCAAAACATGAAACATTAAAAATCGAACTGGACCGAACCGAATTCGTTCAGAACCGAGCCGGGGGGAACCGAACCGAACCAGAACCGGAACCGAACTGGAACCGGGTGGCCCTCCGAACCGAACCGACATGAACCGAACCGGACATCCCAACCCAGCCCACACAGGACCGCAGGCCGACGACACCCCGTACCCCAAACAACGCGGAAGACGACGAGGCTTGAGGCAGCCAGTGCCGAAGCTTGAGCCAATGTGTGCAAGGGGTGACGAGGATGACCATGACGAGTATGAGGACGTCGGGGCAGGTCGGGGCAGGTCGGGGCGGGTCGGGGCGGGTCGGGGCTGGTCAGAGCGGGTCGGGGCGGGTCGGGGGGTCGGTGCAGGTCGGGGCGGTTCGTCCGCAGCGGACCGCCGCCGGGGTAGGTGCCGCCTTGCTCGGCGGCGGAAACCCGCGATCCCCCATGGAAACGGGACCCGTCGCTAATCCACGCCTCCTTGATCCATGTTTGCGATCGCCTGATGACTGACCCCCGCTTGCACTGACCTCCGTGTCAAGCCCTCCCCTCTCGGGCGTTGGCAGAACTGGGCTCAGTAGGACCTGGTTTAGTGATGTGTACTGGGGGACGCCACCCCCGCCCGTTTCACTAACCAGAACTGCCGTCACCCGAAAAAACACCAGCTACGGCAGTCCTGGTCTGGTGATTCTGGCCTATTTAAAGGCTCGAGGGCCCTCCTACTAACCGGGTCCCCTTACCTGGGGTCCTGGCGAGAGCGCGTTTGTTTATTTTCGGCGATAATGATCATTATAAGGGGGGGGAAGGGGGCCGCAAGGGGGTATAATGTAACGCCTCCCCCCCGCCGTGCGCACGGCGGCAATGCCCAGAGCGCACTGGGGGGGGGAGGGGCGTTACGTTATAGGGTAGGGGGGGGACGGGGGCTATAATACCCACTATGCCCCAAGCGACAAAGAAACAAGCTCTACTACTAACCGGGTCCCCTTACCTGGCCCCTTACGGTAGGTTCGTGTGGCGTCGGCGCGCGCAAAGGATTTTGACACCGCGTCGACCGTTCAACCCTGAACCGATCGCGTCCCTCGGTGCTCCCGCGTCGCAGGATTCAACCTTGAACGCCTTCGCCGGCGTCGCCGGCGCGCCAACGCCGCACGGATCTACCGTACCTGGGGTCCTGGCTTTAGGTCGGGCCTGTCCCCCCTACATGGAGATTTTAGAGGAAGAATAAAAATGGTAAACATATCATTAAAACAAATGATCAAAAACAAGTCACAACATCGTGCCCGGAGTACTTCTGACACATGTTTGAACACTCCTCCTGCAGAGGGACGGGCCCGACCTGACCCTGGCTGCACCTGGCTGCACCCCACCCTCGTGCGCGCCGCCCGGCTCCCACGCAGGGTGGTTCTCGATGCGGAGGACGCTGGCCACGCGGCAGCCCGCTGGCACGCGGAGGCCCCCCGCCACGAGGCGGCGGTCCTCGCGAGGGGGCCCGGGGAGCGGCGCCAGCGCGAGCTCTCTCGGGGGCGCGCAGACACGGATCAGCGATCCATGGATCTGGCGCGCGGTCGCCAAATCCATGGATCGGGGGAGGCGCCACCCCCCGAAATGCGGCAGGTGCCGCCTCGCTCGGCGGCGGGAACCCGCGATCCCGCATGGAAACGGGACCCGTCGCTAATCCACGCCCCCTTGATCCATGTTTGCTGTCGCCTGACTCTCGGAGGTCCGCGAGGCCTTCTTCTTGCGTCGGCGCTGCACTCCCTTACCCCCCTGCTTAGAGTTAAGACAACTCCACGCTGAGAAAACGGACTTCTCTCGAAT